GAAGGGCGGGACTTACTATGTAAACAGACGCCATGTTGAGCATTACGAGCTTTCCCATTCATATTTCAATTCATATTTTCAGTCGACTCTGACTCCAGAGAATTGACTCTACTTTATTTCAACCAAGACCGCCCCAGATGAACCATCCTAAACATAGTTTCAGGTAGCTTAACAAATGATTTTTTTATTTGTCCTGTGCAGAAGTAACAGCTCCCTGACACTGTCTGGTGGGTTTTGATGAGTTAGACTGATGAGATGATGGACAGAGATGCTCATCAGGTCATCATGATGCTCATCATGAGGAAACTGCAGCTCCTCTTCACAGAAAACGGCCCTCAGATTCATCAGTATGGCGTCTGCCATATTGGAGCGGTCAAGATGCGCTTGTGAACAAATTCACTTGTATTGAGAGACGATGAGTCTCAGAATTAAATCAGCCACAACTTCCTTATTACTCAACCAATTTTCACCAAATCTGTTTAGTTATAATCCTCAGACACTGATTAATCTAGTCTGCTCGGATCTGCTCTCGGTAGCTTTTATTTCTTTAATAACTGATCGTGATAATTATTCATCTGGACCAGCAGGAAAGTATTCAGTCTGCACCTGATGTTAAAAAAATGTTTAGCGCGAGTAAAAACACAAACTCACACACATCAGCAAATCCATCAATTTGTGAATCACTTCATCTTAATACACATAAAAATAAAATAAAACCCCCAAAACACAGTGAGAAGGACGAAGCTGAAGTTGGCTTCCTATTCACCAGTTTCTTGTTCGAGTTTTCCCGTTCCACCTTAAATGGTGCAGCAGTCATTTTCCGGTGTCTGAAGCTGCACCATTTAAGGTGGAACGGGAAAATTCGAACAAGACGCTGGCAAATAAGAAGCTGACTTCAGGTTCGTGTAAGAAGGTGCCAACATTAATCTATTACGAATATCTACACGGATTAAGGAATGCTATAACTTACCTACAAAGCATTAACCATCATTGTAAATAAATAACTACTACATAACATTAAGATTCCCTGAATGGACTATTAAATTAAATAAGCTTAATATAAAACCAGAGGAAAAACAATCACATCAACAGTCCTGTGCCTCACCAACCAGACAGCCATATCTACATAAACACCACACAAACAATACAAATCACACAGACATGAGCGTGGATCGCTGTGTTCCCTCTATTATATACCTCCTATCCCACTTTCTGAGTGTAATATTCTTGAAATAGTGTCATTTTGGACAATATCTTTCTCAAACTGTCGCTCTGTAATGGTCCTGAAGCAGTTCAGCAGCGATGTTGACCGCCCCAAAATGGCAGCACCGTTGACGTGCCTGACTGGACCCAACGCGGCATCTAGGTGCGTATATCTATGCCTCTACCCAATAACAACAAAAAACACAGAGTCGACTCCAAGCGTTTCGACTCTCCGAGTCAATGACCGAGAGTCGACCCCGACTCCCAGCCGGAGTCGAAGAATCGGTTCCTTTAGAATCGACTCCCCATCGCTAACGGGCTTCTGCGCCCAAACGCTGCTCTAATGTTGGTCGTGCAATATAACTGGCTTTCTATTCACGATATAAACACGATTTGGGTTTGGGAGCCCCTTTTAAAGACCTACCTAGTGCGCTACATAGGGAGTATGGAGCTATTTGAGACCGAGCCTTTAAGATTGAGTCGCGTTAGCTGGCTTGTTTAGCTACTTAGTTAAAGCTAGCGTGAAAAGCTGATCTCCAGGCCACAGCTATCACAGCTTTAAGTCGTCTGGCAATTTTCGTCATATCACTATGATCTTTAGCAGCTTAAAAAGCGAGTAAACTACATTTAGAGAGGTTTAACTTCAGTTACTTGCCTTTATCAGTGGCTCTGGTGCTGTTTTGGTGGTAGTTGTGTCTGTGGTGCTGCAGATAGACACCTCTGCTTTTGAGAAGGCAGGAAAGGGACGGTTGGTTTGTCAGGTAATTTAACTGAAACGTATAATAATTACAGTTACATCCTCACAGTAAAACTTTTCCATGCTAGAAATGAAGACTGTTGTATTTTCCCTCCAGAACTCTGCTTTTTGTGCCTGAGTAGGCCTGTCTGTTGAGCAGCAGGCAGCTTGGCCTACAGGACCCACTAAACAGGAAAATACAGGTAACGTTACAGTCTTCAAATCTTTAGACATTTAGAGCTGAGTTTCTCTCCGTCCTTCACAAACTTTAGTCCTTACTTAGTTTCAGATTTGGTAGTATTTCTGCTAATGCTAATAGGATGCTGGTGTGGAAAACATGCTCAAATTGGGCACAACGTACACCTAATTAACTACAATCTTATTTAAGATAGTTCTCCAAGGGTTCTGTTTAGAATCATGAGTTCTATATAGAACCATTTCATGCTTAAATGGTTCTTTTCATGATGAAAAGTTTCCACAGATTGATGGAGAACGTGTTGTGTATGGTTCTATATAGGACCCTTTTTGAAAATTGGTTCTATATAGTAGCAAAAAAAAATGTTGTGCTGTCAAGCTTTTGGGTGCTGTATAGAACCTTTTTCAGAAAGCATATTCGTGAACATTTTCCATCAATCTGAAGAATCCTTTCATGATGCAAAGGGCTCTTTGAGTGTTCATGGTTCTATATAGAACCGTTTCTTTTTTTTAAGAGTCTATATAGCGCCAAAAACGGTTCTCTTGTTGTTACGGTGTTAGGCTTGTATACAATAGCAGAACCCTTTTTGGTGCTGTATAGAATAATTTTTAAAAAGACTCTGTCGATCCATATACAGTACATTCTCCATCAATCTGAAGAACCATTTCACCTTGCAAAGAACAATTGAAGCATAAAAAAAGTTCTGTATAGAACTTACGGTTCTAAATTCCCTTTACTAAAGAACCTGTAAACCGTCTTTGTTAAGAGTGTAGCTTAGCTGTGGGTGTGATTTAAGATTTGGATGCTGCGTAGACTCTTTACTGTTAAGATGCAAGTCATAATTTACTCATTAATAATAATTTATAATGAGAATGAGAAGAGCAGGTTTGTCCCCCGAGTTATTGGTAAAGGCAGTAAAGGCAGTAAAGGCAGAGGCAGTTTCCTTCTTTCACTGTGCTGAATCAGGTTGCTTGGTAGCGTAGGCCGCTGTACACTGCATGTAGGCTGGTAGCAACTGAATTTCACGTGACCGTTCATTATTCACAGTGAAGAAAAAAATCAAAGCAGTTCTCAGCAGACTGTCCCCTTTCATCCAAAACCTCTTTCTTGACTTCTTGTTTTTCATATTTTTAGTTGGGTGATGTATCAGAAGCTTTCAGACTGTACGAGCTGATGGGAATCCCCATTAAAACATCCATAATGTCATATTATCCGTGGGTTTACATCAGTGGTTCCCAAACTTTTAACAGTCCCGTGCCCACACACACACACACACACACACACACACACACACACACACAGACATTTCAATGATGTACACCGATCAGACATAACATTATGACCACCTCCTTGTTTCTACTCTCATTGTCCATTTTATCAGCTCCACTTACTATATAGGTGCACTTTGTAGTTCTACAGTTACAGACTGTAGTCCATCTGTTCTCTGCATACTTTGTTAGCCCCCTTTTACCCTGTTCTTCAGTGCTCAGGACCCCCATGGACCCTCACAGAGCAGGTACTATTTGGGTGGTGGATCATTCTCAGCACTGCAGTAACACTGATGTGGTGGTGGTGTGTTAGTGTGTGTTGTGCTGGTACGAGTGGATCAGACAGAGCAGTGCTGCTGGAGTTTTTAAACACTGTGTCCACTCACTGTCCACTCTATTAGACACTCCTACCTTGTCAGTCCACCTTGTAGATGTAAAGTCAGAGACGATAGCTCATCTGCTGCTGCACAGTTTGTGTTGGTCATCCTCTAGTCCTTCATCAGTGGTCACAGGACGCTGTTGGCTGGATATTTTTGGTTGGTGGACTATTCTCAGTCCAGCAGTGACACTGAGGTGTTTAAAAACTCCAGCAGCACTGCTCTGTCTGATCCACTCAGACCAGCGCAACACACACTAACACACCACCACCACGTCAGTGTTACTGCAGTGCCTGCTCTGTGAGGGTCCATGGGGGTCCTGACCACTGAAGAACAGGGTAAAAGGGGGCTAACAAAGTATGCAGAGAACAGATGGACTACAGTCTGTAACTGTAGAACTACAAAGTGCACCTATATAGTAAGTGGAGCTGATAAAATGGACAATGAGCGCAGAAACATGGAGGTGGTCATATTGTTACGCCTGATCGGTGTACATTTAAGATATTTAGCTTTGTGAAATCATTCCAACATAAAACATCAATACTTTGTGTACTGAATAATACTGAATGAATGAATGAATAGTTGTGGTTTTAGATTTCAGTGAGGGTCTCTTGTTCAGGAGTTTGTGATAGGAGTGCTGGGGCAGCAGAGCTGTTTGTTTTGTCTGTAGTGGGGAGGCACCTCTGTAATTGGTATGAAATGGCATAAAATGAAGATTAAATAAGTTATAAACATCAAATGTCAATTTTTTTTTGGCTTATATGAAAAAGAGTTTGCTATGGTTGTGGCATGCTGCAAAAATGAGACCATAGCATCTTATATTTAATCTTAATATCTAATATTTCTCATTTTGAGATTCTTGATGAGTTTATTCAACTTATTTCTAGATATTTCTTTTTTACTTCTGTAAATTAATTTTATTTATTGAAAGTGTCTCATTCCATTGGCAGATAATTTAGACAACAAACTACATTAACGTGTAGATCAGCATTGACCTAAACTCATTTAGCGAGTTGAGCCCCCCTCTTTTTACCCTGTTACTATTTTAAATTATTTTATAAGAGAGGTCTTTGCCAATCTTGAACTCTTGATTATTACCGTGATGAAATTGATTATGTTGATATTGCTTTGACTGTTCCAAATGATTTGTTCTCTGATAGCATAAAACCAAGTGTTTCAGTTTACATTTTTAACACGGCACAAAATAAGGCACAGGAGACTTAATAAAAAAAAGGTTTTAATTAATATTATCAAAAGTAATTTACGCCATAAAAACACATTGACAATAAGAAATTAAAAATGACAAAAATTCTTTCAAAAAGTGGACTTATTATCCGTTCATAAGAATAACTAAATTGCTGGACGAGCAACCAGGAAAAGTTTCGTGATTCATGACAGCATAGCAGTGCTCTTTTATAACAAGCTCACATTCGTAATCCACATTAATGATAATAATCCTAAAATGGGCAAGATCCTGGTCTACTAGTCTCTCTTCTCCTCCTCTAGTAAGGAAAATGAGGCATTCATTTTAATAGATTAGCAGACAGAGAGCCAACTTGTATGAAAAGCATGCAGTTTTATGGCTTACATTGAAGCTATGGACGAAACATGATGTCAGGACGTGTAGGACGTACAGAACGATGATTAACGTCTGGACAGACGATGCTTTTTGATCATATTAAATAAGGCAAACTAACTAAAAGAGGTGTGATACTACAGGATGGTTGAAAAGCTACAGACAAACACTGGGGGGAGCTACAGAGTCAGGAAAATGAGTAGTGCCGTCTGTTCAATTCAAAGTCTGCAGGCAGTGCAGGGCTCCAGACACTAGACGCCTTTACTCCCACTGATCTGCTGCATTTTGCATACTATAAAAGACATACTGTCAGTAACCCAGGGCAGCTGTTCAGTCTACGACACAGAAAAGCGAGTGGTGAAACAATGACAAAGTTTGCGACGCTGTTTTTTTCATGCGTGCGTTTCATTATTTACACTATTAGAGGTACTTGATGTCTCCGCTCATCAGAGACGCCCTTGAAAATATGATCATCCTGAGATTGGAAAGGTTTGCTGTTAACTTTTCTCTCATTCACTGAGCACCACATCCAGACTGGTAGTCCATGTTTCATCCAAGGTTGTTTCAATAGTTTGGGCCTTTACTGAAAGGATCCCTCCTGAACATTGCGCCGTAGCACATGGACGGATGGCACACGCCTGGCGAGCCAGGTTCTCCAGGGTATCCTCTTTTACCTTCTTCTCCATGACGACCAGGCAGGCCTGGTTTGCCTGGGTGACCCGGTTTGCTGGCCCCTGGTGGACCCATTGGACCTACGACAAGAAAAAATATTACCATTATGGTGAATACAAAACAATTATGGTCAGTGTATGACCCCAACTGGCTATTGTTTATTCAAAATATACAAAAACTGCAACAGCAAAAGAAGCACAGAATACTTGAACTATTCAAAGATAATTTTAATTAAAAACAAATTTACATGCACTCAGTAATCTGATCATAGTCCGATTTCTCAAGTTATCCGATTATTTAAATGGTCATGTGAAGGGCACACTCTTATTTCATAGATCAGAGTAAGGTCTAGATATCCGAGAGCTGGATTTTAGCTCAGTAATCAGATTTCTCAGTGCATGTGAACTCTTAGTCTGATTTCTTTCGCATTTCTCAGACGGTGTATGTTCGAAAACAGACTGCGGTACCGGAGATAAGCAAGCAGCGTCGCTGCGAGACACAGCAAAACACTTTTGGAGCGGCGCTGAAACTAAATACATGCTTAAAGAAATGAAGTATTCAAATACTCTTCATCTAGATGATGTATGCTCACATTTTCAGGTAAAGTGGCGCGATGTTTAAAAAAAGACGCGTCATGAAGTTTGAGTTTACGTTACGTTTATGCCACGATTTCTGTGAGTTTACTGGCTGGTTGTAAAGCAGAAATCTGATTACTGTCTGACTCATGTAGACCCGGAGCTTCCGTATTATTTGAGTACCCAAGTGCATGTAAATGTGTTAATCGGATTACTGACAGAAAATCTGATTTTCTGCAGTTATCGGATTATTAAGTGCGTGTAAAGACACTCATTGTTTTATATAAAACATTAGGCTGCATGAAGTACAGATAACACCAGGCATCATTTATTTTTGTGTAACCGCTGACCCATAGAAGAGGGTCAGACAGCACATTATGTTGCAGTGCATGCTGGGAACTGTAGTGCAGCTCATGGTGAAATGGGCTAATATTAATAGAAAATTTAAATAATTTTGTGAGCCGAATAGGTTTTTGCCTCAGGCCTGGGTGTGAGGCCTTGTGTTTGACACATGGGATGTAGATGATGTGGTAACATTTTACTTATTTTTTTACAGAAAATCAACAAAGCGGTTGATTTAACTGGGGTTGTGCAAACTTTAGCATACATCTATATACCTCAAAAACCAAAGCTGTTATCTGAGTGTTATCTATTATAATAAAATTGATTATACTATGATTCATGTTTCATTTGCGCAATTCAGTCTAAATTCCTAGTGTCCACGACTGTCAGAGCGAGAATAATGTGGAATGTTTTCCAACTGTAAACAATAAGAGTCTTCAATGCCAAATTCTCTTCCACTTAAATCTTTGTGATGCTCTCTTCTCCCTCTGACACGCTGAGTCTGTTACCACTATAAATTGTTTTATGGTTGTTTGGAATATGTTTATGCTGGTATGTGTCTTCAAAATTCAAAGCACCAGTTTGGTGTAATACCCAGGCCTGTTGGCAGACAGCATAACAAAACCAAAAGTATCTAAAGCTTGTGAAATGGGAGTGCCCAGTGTAGGATATAATCTAATAAAAATAATAATAAATATGATTTCCCCCCCCCCTGTGTTGTAAATAGCAGTTAGCTAATTGAAACTGTATATCCTTGCCTGGAAGTCCTGGAGGACCTGGGTTTCCATATCCTGTTCGCCCTTGATTTCCTTTGTCACCCTTTTCTCCTGGATCACCTGGAAATTCCCAAATCAACACAGGTCTCATAGTTTTCATGAAAACATGCAATGACAAAGAAAAATTTCTGAAATTTCTTGCATGTATATTACAGTGGAGTGACATGATTTCTGTTGAAAGTAACACACAATATAAAGAGTGTATAAAAATGGCAAAACATTAAGCTTTTTATGGTCGTAACATCAAATCATCAAACAGATAGATCAAGCAACTTCATATAGGAGAGCTTTTCCCTTTGATTTCTTTAAATGTTGTGAAAAAATGAAGTTTTGTGTGTAAATTTGCAGACAGTCTCTTACAGAAAAATGAGTCAGTATTTTTCCACTCAGCATTGACGGCTTCAAACTGTTGAAAATCATTGCCGAGCTAGTTTGTGTTTAATTTGAGACCAAATATTCTCTGTAGGGTTAAAATCTGGACTCTTATCAGCTAAAACCATCAATAAAAACCATTATATTTTGTGTGTGTGTGTGTGTGTGAGGCGAATAAGTGCTATATGATGCATTAAGTGTGAATCATACCGTTACACCATTCCCAAAACTTAGTCTTGTTTCGGCACTGGAGCCATGTTCTCTGGAATCTGTTTACCCACGCTTGTTTAGATATTTCTTCTGTATGTGGTCTGCAGTTTATCCTGGACAGCCTGTCCACATCCCTGAGAAGCACTTTGTTTCCTGTGCACACTAACCATGCATGTCCTCCATGATTCGCCCCCTGGATTAGTCATCATGGTTATTGACCATGTATTTACACTTTTAGAACATCTGGCTAAAAGAAAAAGACCCATCTCCTGCAGTGGTTTGAGTGGATCTGTTTTAAATCTTTGGTGCATTTACACCTACATTTTCATATGCTTCTGATACTGAAGACGGATGAAACGCCCACGTGTAAAACGGGGTCTTAATCAAGTAATAAGAACAGGGGTGGCAAACTGTGGTCAAGGAGGGCCAGTGTTCAGCACAGTTTGGTCATTTTCCTGCTCTTAACCACCAACTAAACCTGGCAATTACCTGCTGAGTTGAATCAGTAGGAAGAACACAGCACTGTGCTGGACTCCGGCCCTCCAGGACTGGAGTTTGCTAGTTAGATGAAGAGGACAGGATGAGGAGGTTTATCATATGACTGTGTCAGACAGCACTGTGCTATATTTACTGGAGTACCAGTAACTTAACCATTCCAGGTGCAAGTATTCAAATATTTGCAATTAAATTCACCGATCAGGCATAACATTCTGACCACCTCCTTGTTTCTACACTCATTGTCCATTTTATCAGCTCCACTTACTATATAGGTGCACTTTGTAGTTCTACAGTTACAGACTGTAGTCCATCTGTTTCTCTGATACTTTGTTAGCCCCCTTTTACCCTGTTCTTCAGTGGTCAGGACCCCCATGGACCCTCACAGAGCAGGTACTATTTGGGTGGTGGATCATTCTCAGCACTGCAGTAACACTGACGTGGTGGTGGTGTGTTAGTGTGTGTTGCGCTGGTCTGAGTGGATCAGCTGGAGTTTTTAAACACTGTGTCCACTCTCTGTCCACTCTATTACACACTCCTACCTTGTCAGTCCACCTTGTAGATGTAAAGTCAGAGACGATAGCTCATCTGCTGCTGCACAGTTTGTGTTGGTCATCCTCTAGTCCTTCATCAGTGGTCACAGGACGCTGCCCACAGGACGCTGTTGGCTGGATATTTTTGGTTGGTGGACTATTCTCAGTCCAGCAGTGACACTGAGGGGTTTAAAAACTCCAGCAGCACTGCTGTGTCTGATCCACTCGTACCAGCACAACACACACTAACACACCACCACCACGTCAGTGTTACTGCAGCGCTGAGAATGATCCACCACCCAAATAGTACCTGCTCTGTGAGGGTCCATGGGGGTCCTGACCACTGAAGAACAGGGTAAAAGGGGGCTAACAAAGTATCAGAGAAACAGATGGACTACAGTCTGTAACTGTAGAACTACAAAGTGCACCTATATAGTAAGTGGAGCTGATAAAATGGACAATGAGCGTAGAAACAAGGAGGTGGTCATAATGTTATGCCTGATGGATGTAAGTATATTATGTTGTACTTTGCTAATATAAACCTGAGTGCTTTAAAGTGAGCATGTTGGCAAGGACTCGGGCTTTTGAGATAAAACTGACATTCGAATATGTCAAATCCTTTGCCCCTCCTGCATCTCTGAGTATTTTTCAGGCCAGGAGTTATCACACTTCACTGCTACCAAACTCGCAGCAGAACATGCCTTCACTGATTACAAAAAAAAAAAAAATATTTGGTTAAATATTTGGAAGTTTTAAAATGTATTTGGCACATTTGCAAACACTAGACAGCTCTTTAGCAACTCAGCCACTCTGAATGTAGTGATATATCTTACTTTACGAGCTGAATAACACTAGTAGTCAGAAATGCATTCTCGTGTGAGATAACTGAATGGGCTGTTTCAGCCATTGCCAAAGATGTGGACGTTCTGTACCACAGGAAGCTCATCAAGTAATATTGATAAGGTTGCAAAGTGAGCAGTTAGTTTAACTAGCATTCTGAATTGGGCTGGATTCTCAAAGCACTGAGGACAATCAAGACCGAATGATAACCCATATTTATAATATTTTAACAACATCATAAACAGAACACTCCCACTTATCGTAAACTGCCCTGAAATCAACTGACACGCCATCACAAGTCAGATTATGATGGTGCTTACGGTACTAGGTATTTAGCCTATATTGACATTGACTTTGCTTAATAGCACTGAAAAGAGTGGGATAGTGAAGACCTTTTTCGGTAGTTATATATCACTTTATAAAGTAGCACAGAAGTGATTAAAACAATGTAATATAATATGTTCATATACAGTTTAAAATAAACAATAAAATAAATGAAAGAAAACGTTTTACTTTGATCATTGTGATTTAACTGTACCCCACAGAAGTTCTCATCGATTGCATTTATATGCACTAACATAAACACTCATGTATTAGCGCTATGCACATATGCATAAACAAAAAGTAAAGTAAACAAAAGCTCTCACCACTGTTTACACTAGAGCGAGGGCAGCGACTGCCCTGTGGGCTTCCTAACCACCCATTGGCTGTGGGGATATTGAGACACTGTCGTTGGTAGATAGTAAAACAGCTGACGTGCCACCTTCCCTTTAAGGTTTAGCCCAGACGTTATGTCAACACTACCTTATTTGTAGCCTTTGAGAATGAGGTATGGGAAAGGTCTCTAGCCGGTCAGCTGGACAGAGTTATCCTAGGTTAAGAGGGCATAAGGTCGTTACGACGGCTGTCACTGGTAACCATCATGACGTTTTAAGAAACCGACCCCCTCAGGTTAAAAACCACTGATTTATAACACTGTTACCATTTAGGGATGATTGATCTTTATGCTATGCGCCCACTTGTGGATTAAGGAGGCATAACATTGACTTAGAAATCTGGAGTTTGCTGCAGTTATGTTTCTTACTTGATTTCTCTGCGTCTTGAAAAATAGTGAATTTAAAAATTAAATAAACTTGAGTGTCTGAAAAACAAACAAGGGGAATTTTCTGATCCTGACAGCGCTACTGAGGACCTGGCTGAGAAGGCAGAGGTAGTGCAGCTGTAACTAAAAAAAATCAAATAATAAAAAGGATGTTCTCAGTGTTGCCTTGGCAAGCTAAGGATCCACTGAGGAGAAGAACCTTCTGTATTGGCCTGTGAGCTGCACTGGGTCATTTCCAAGTCACATAATCAGGCATATTCACAAATCTTCGCATTCTTAATGTGGGTAAAGGTTTACAGCTGGTCCTATGCCACTTTTTGGGGCTTAAAAATATGTAACAATTCTTTTTATTCAGTTTATTTTTAAATGGTTTTAATGATACCTTTAGGAGTATTTAATTTCAACTTCATTTCCAACATCACAGTTAGCCCAAATGCACATCCTTAGTGTGCACAGTCCAGAGTACATGTAAAAATGGAAAAAATCATGGATAACGTTAAATGTTGGATAACGAACAAATGTAGAACCTCGCATTTTCAGTTTTCTCTCACTACAGGTTAACTGTGTGTTGACATTGCTGTATTTTGAGATAAACTAGCAAAATATAGATTATTCTTAAGTCATAACATTTTTGTAAAGGGAAAAATAAGCATGATTAGAGATGCTTGGTGTTCCTGTGAAAACGAGAGATGACCAAATTAGAAAAAAATCACTTTTAGTGTTCAGCCATGCCTCGTTACCTTTCATGCCAGGGATACCAGGCCTCCCAGGTAAGCCACGGTGTCCCTGCATCCCATTAGATCCTGGCATTCCTGGAAAACCTCTTGGACCTTGGGGACCTACTGACCCTGGTGGTCCAGGAGGTCCCGACCTCGTATGACAGTGGTCACAGCTTCTCTGTTGACTGTGTTGAGTGCTCAACAGAAGCGAGGCGATCTCAGCTGCAGTTCAGAGAATGGCATTAGTCATCAGACAAGATAAGCTTTAAAATGACACGTAGAAAAGAGCTCGAATGGAAATGTTGATGGTTCTCGCCGGTGCGTTACACTAGTCCAGTGGTCCTCAGTCCCAGCTGTGATGACCTTACACTTTGGACATTTTTGTGTGTTACTACATTCAGCTCACTGATTCAACTCATGTACCAGCCAGGTGTGTTAGAAAAGAGGACACACAAAATATGCAAAATTTAAAATCATATGAAGTCATTTCACACCAACAAATGTTAGAATTATCAGATAAATACAAGAGACTTGTCTCTTTAACATTAACAATATAGTTTTGTGGAACTTTTCTGTCAGATTCAGCAAACATTTTATAAAAGCAAACAAAAAGAGCTCAACAATTTCACAAAAACATTCATTTCCTAATGTTCTCTAGTTTAATTTACTTGGTATTGTGCAAAGGTCAGGGACCACCATTCCAGGGCTTCTGACCAACTTTTTTTTTTTAAACGTCCTGAAAAAAATTGTCCGCTGTTCCAAAGTGAAAATTGACCACCCGAAATATTAAGATGCTTTGTTTACATTATATCTCACTCTTGAAATGTTGTACTAGTGCACTGCAAATTCTTAAAAAACACAACTGTCAGTTTGCAATGCACTGAATAGATGCATAGCACATGTGCTCACATGCACACGTAAGGCCAGTTTATAGTCCAGGTGACAATCGTCACAGGCGTCGCAGCCCTGCAGGCTTTCATGGTCCTGTGCCAGCGACAAAACGTCGGAATAGAGCATCATCTGTAGTTTCTGTTAAAACTCGCATGACATTGCAGCTAATGAAACAGCACAGAACAGGAAACAGCTGCTACAGTCAAACTGCATTAACGGTAGGATATTAAGCTGCGGGGTTGCTATGGCAACCGGGAATAGCCTGCTACTCCTTTTTGTACACGTGTATGTTTCACTCACAAGTTTTTTCTCCGTCAGGGTTGCCAGATTCACGATTTTCCCAAAAATTCCAGTTACTTTTGGAAGTGCAGTGCGGGGGAAATTACACTGCCGTGGGTGCGTTTTCTGCTTGGACCACTTTTTAAAGTAACCACAGTCCCGGAAAAACGTTTGATGTTTGATTTTATGTGCATTTCTAAACTTTCCTTCCAAAGCAGACTTTTGAGCGAATGTGCTTTTATTGTGTGTTATTATGAATACTCACATCGAAGGACCTCTCTGCATATCTGCTGGATGTGTTGCTCAGATAGTTCTCTGCCCTGCAAAGAAATCAGAGTCGTCCATAAAAGTTCATGATTGGTGCGTCCCTGTTAGACACATCATTAGACACATTGTTAAAGTGTCCATCTACTGATAAAACACTGTTACTTGCACTAGCAAAATTAGATATCTTTTGTTTGTGCTTTCTTAGCAGTGTCATTTCTTATCTCATGCACTGATCTGCTGGAAAACCCAGTCAGATCTCTCTCTCTTCGTCTCTCTGTCTGTCTCTCTCACTCTCTCACACACACACACACCACTGAAGCTATTTTTTTTCTGAGATATTTGATGGTAAATCTTTGGGCGCAGATAGTTGCCACATAGCTAATTTGATAACATATGTTTGAGAATTACTTTTCCATAAAGTCTCCCGGCTCAGTGAAATCCCCTTACCATTATAAGCCAAAACAGAATGAGTGAAGATGCAAAAAGGAAAAAAATAGTGTGTCACTGATGAGTCTGGCTAGCAGTGTGCAGCTCTGAGACAAAGCCCTCTAACTTAACTTACATCAACATTATGGCCACCAATGCGTTTTTTGTGTGTTTGGTAGCTGCACATGTGATGTTACTGACTCGCAATGTTGCATCAGTCAGTGCTGTGAAGTCCTCATCACCTGCACACACCGAAACGTGAAGAAAGCTGCTAGAGTGTTTCAGGGTGAGGGTGAGGGTGAGAGGGAGGGGGCCGCGGCCAAAAAACGCTGCTGACTTTTCCGAAATACTGATTAAAATGCATTACCAGTCAGTATTTTGGAAGAGTCAGCGGTGAAGTAACTGTCCAGTCATACACCTTGACTAACTGTGAAACCGTGATACTATAACAAACCCTACATACCAGTACAACACACATTAACACACCACCGCAGTGTTCATATCACTGAGTGCGTTTAAATGCGCTTCATAATCCGATAACTGCAGAAAATCAGATTTTGTCAGTAATCCGATCAATGTGCTTACATGCACTTGAGTAATCAGATAAAGAGAAAACTCCAGGTCTACATGAGTCAGACAGTAATCAGATTTCTGCTTTGTAACCGGCCAATAAACTCACAGAAGACAAAGTGACATAAATGTAATGTAAAACTCAAACTTCATGTAGAAGATGAAGAATATTTAAATTCTTCATTTCGTAAAGCGTGTACTCAGTTGCTGCTCACTTATTTCCGGTACCACGGTCTGTTTTCGCACGTGCTCAGACTGAGAAATCCGAAAGAAATCAGAGTAAGAGTTTACATGCACTGAGAAATCTGATTACGGAGCTAAAATCCAGCTCTCTTTATCAGATTTCTTAATTGGATTCTTAGACCTTCTAAGAAATGGGAGTGTGCTGTTTACGTGACCATTTGAATAATCAGATCACTGCAGAAATCCGATTATGTTCAGACTAATCAGTGCATATAAACGCCCTCAATGATTTACTGAGAATAATCCACCACCCAAATAATATCTGGTCAGCGATGGTCCTATGATTGTCCCTCTTCACTGATAGGTGGACTAGAGGGTGACTAACAAATTGCGCATAACAACATAAGGGTTACGGTCAGTAATTGTTAACCTACAAAAGTGCACTTATAGGGTAGGTATGCTTGATAAAATGGTCAGTTACTGCACTTAATATACGGGCTACTAGGCGTTGTGATTGGCTGACTCCTCCACAAGTGAAATTAAACCATGTTCAGAAAGCAGTCTGGGCTGAAAAGTTCAAAATGAAATCATCAGAAAAATTACATTTCAGCCACTTTTGACTGTTTATAAGGCTGTACAGTGATGCATTTGCTTCCATACAGCCACAAACAGCAACAATAAGTCATTTTCCTTCGCATGTTCAACTCAAATTACAAATGTAAATGATGAGTCGTGTTATGATATTATGATATCACAATCTTCGTGAATTTAAAAGAGGCTGCAGCTCAGCCTGTATGGAATGGGGAGTGAACAGTATATTCTAACACATAATCAATGTTTGCATCTCTTGTTTAAACAAGCAAGGACAGTTTGGTCTCCGTAGGCCTAAACAAATTTGGACCTAAAGAAAGATAAATGTGCGGTTTGAAGGCATTTCTAAGTGGATACAGTACATACTGGTCGTCCTTCAAGTCCAGGTTGTCCAGGGGGGCCAGTGTCCCCATTCTGTCCTCTGGGTCCAGGCAGACCTGGCTGCCCGGGCTGTCCTGGCTGTCCCTGGTGGCCTATCTGTCCCCTCTGGCCAGGCTCTCCTGTTGTCCCTTTCTGACATGCACACAAGCACAGCATCAGCAAACAGTTCAAACAGCCAGTGATTGCACACAGTGATGAGCCGACCTCCCTTTACAATAACAGAGACAACACAAGTTTAACTGTGAAGCGTTCAGCATTTAAATGTGCTTCAATAAAATTTACTGTTTGCATAATAATGATTGACATGACTGTTTAGCAGCTGTGTTTAACCCTTTAAGGCTGATGCAAAAACGTGGCTATTGCTGCTGTTTAATCTGCTCTTCTCTGTTAATCACATGATGTCTCAACACCGTCGTTGCATTTATTTCATATGTTAAAAATGTGATCTAACGAAGCAGACATTTTTCAGAAACTACCAGATAACGCATGAATAGGTATTAAAAGGTAGTTTATCATTACTCTACTTTTCAACTTCTTGGGACCACCGGTGGTTCCAAAACACACGTCATATTCTTCAAAACTTTCATATTTCATAAGCTACATTCTAAAGGTGGGGGTCATATGAGAGCTGTAACTGTCTTCTTTCCACTCAAATAGATGGATGATGTAATTTTAAACCCTTATAATAAAAGAAGCTGAACTCACAATTTTTTTTTCTACTGAAAGTCGACCCATTTTTCCACAAATCTGGGCTATAAACTATAAACAGATGGCGTCTCTTCAGTGATCTGCTCTGTAAACATTATTTTTATAAAATAATACAAAGAGCGTCTAAGATTTTTGGCTTTCAGCAGTAAATTGTAAGCATATAGCGTTGTTCTGTTCATTTGAGGGGAACTTTTACAGCAAAAAAAAAGATAAAAATTTACATTAATTTCTTGCAGTTACTGAATAATTTGCTTTGCGATTTGGTCATGTAAATTTAGATGGACAAACCAAAATATACCCTGGTCAATTTAAACAAATCAGTATTTTTTTTGCTTTTCAAGCTGAAAGACACTCTGAATGAGCCTCTCGTGTGCTTTGAAAAAAAACAAAAACAAAACAGTGCAAAAAAGGAAGCACCGAGCATCTTTTATACCAAGGGCAAGAAACTCCTGCAGAGTTTTGTGATTTTCCTGCTCAAGCGCACTTGATTCAACTCAAGTGATTACCAGGTTTAGTTGGTGTGCCAGAGCAGGAAATCACCAAACTGTGCTGGACTCCGGCCCCTCAGTTCCCCACCCCTGTTTTACACAGTGATAGTAAACATGGTAGCACACAGAGAGCTCTGAGTCTACACATTGAGGCCGATGTGAACATGAACGTGTCATAACTCCTCTGGGTTTAAGGGACCATCGGCAAATTCTCAGAATGGATCAGCAGCGAGATGCTTGCGGTTTATTTTTTTTGTAATGATCTACGGATGCAAATGGATCGAGTGGCAAAATGTGCACTGATTTATAAGATTGATGTGACTGACTATGATACCCTGGGTGTCCATTATTTTATAACCAATTAAAAATAAAGTACAAAATATATGAACCCACCTCTCCTTTTTGCCCAGTCAGCCCAGTTAAACCCTGTTCATGAAGAGAAATGAGTCATCAGACATGTAGCAGATATTCCAGAAACAAATAAATACAGCAACAGGATTGTCCCGTCCAGTTTAAAGCAGAATTCCCCCTATTTTTTAAAAACCCTGCATAGTTTTTGGTCAATATGTAAAGTCATTCAGTCTGGTTTAATGTGAAATGCGGCATTCTAGAAAAAGGACAGACAGTTTTTACATAAACGATTATGAAAACACTGCCTGATGCTTGAGACATTGTTTTACGATAGTTTTAAGAAAAAAAGTTTTTTTTTAAATAAATCCATTCAGCGCTAAGGGGTACATGCAAGGTGTTGTAAGGCAAAAAAGTCCCAAAAGACAACTTATTTTTTGATTAAACACTATTTTATCATCATCAACTTTCCATATATAAACTCAGAAGGATCGTGTAGGTTCACTGGTGGTTTTGGATAGTAAATAAAATGTCTATATTTGTGTTGTAGTCATGGCGACCCCTGGTTCCTATCACCACCACTGTAAAGACATCTGAGTATCTACAGTCAAGCATTTCACACGTTTTCATCTCAACCACTGAATAATGCAGACATTTTAAGAAAATCAGTGGATAAAGAGATCTCCATTGTAAAAACTGCAGGTTTGTGTGACTTATTGTCCTGTTTTCTACGAGGCCTTCGGTGACATGACTAAACCTGCCTTCCCTCAAACCAACTAACATCAGAGTGAAGCCCATTTGTCACATTTCAGCTTGTGAATACCAGCCTTTGTTTGAAGACCCAGTGCTGCGGGTGGTCTGCTCTTGATGTTCTTTTGAGGACACAGCTCTCTGTAGAAATTCAGTGTTCACCCCTGGCAATGTCGGAAGTTCAGCTGAAGTTTTCTCTTGCCTTGCTGCAGTGTTGCCTTGTTTGCATAATTGAGTTATTCCTTAAAGGAGAACTCCACCGATTTTTCCAAAATTTTGCATAAATTTGTCGTTGCGATGTAAACAGTATTCAGAGTGGCTTGGTGTGCAACAGTTCATTGTAGAGACTCAGATTTCCTTACAGTGGTGGTGATAGGAACCAGGGGTTGCCATGTCTGCAACACTAGTACAGCCAATTTATTTACTATCAAAAAACCAAATTACTGTCCATGTTTTTATATGTAATGTTGGTGATGGTAAAATAGTCATAAATCTAAGAAAGTGTTTTCTTTGCAGACTATTTTGCCTAACAACACCCTACATGTACTCCTCCTCCATGAATGGATGAAAATAAATGGATTATTAAGATGTTTTAGGCCAAAACTTTATACAAAACTACAGTGAAGCAAATATTCACAACCATTTCATATAATAAAAGCTTTTAGAGGTGGACGTCTGGTTCCTATCACCACCACTGTGAACAACTCTGACTTGGTAAGTTTATCTAGAACAGAGCGTTTCACACCAAACCACTCTGAATGACTCTTTACATCTTAACCATTTAATTATGTACAAATTGTGAAAAATCAGTGGATCCTTTTTGTGGATCTGTGTATGGGAATTGTATGCCAATGCCCATATATAATATTTTTCCTGCCATTACCAATGCCAAAACATAAACATTGCCGAAATGTAGAAATCAGGATTATATCCACCTGGATCAGGATTACAGATTAGTGTAACACTGTAATTAAAACTCAGTAAAATGCATACAATGCTGATGTTTTAGCCCAGTAGCCAGGCGTCACCTAAGCATGTTGCTCTTCTACAGTGCAATAAATATAAATATATCAAATATTGGTTTGAAATATCTGTCAAATCTAAATGTTTATAGTTTTTAAAAGCGAATATCTGCTGATGCCGCTGTGATTCCAATATCATTGTACAGTCCTAACAAAATGTCAAATTATTAGTGATTAGTTAGTCATGGCTAGGGCCAGTCATATCCCTACTACAAATGTAGGTATAATCTGTCTGTTTACAAAAAATACAGTGTAACATAAGATGGACTTACTTTGTCACCGGGTTTTCCTGGATCTCCTTTGTCTCCTTTTAACCCCTGTTGAAAAGTGCAGACGATCATTTTAACCCAAATGGCAAATCTAATTACAGTTTTAAGGAGAACCATGTCCAGCACCAGCACTGTCAATAAATATGAATAACCAATGTTGGGTGAGCTCCATTTTATTGATTACTAAATGGTTTTTATGCTCTGCTCTCTTTATAAATAATGTGATGTGATTTCAGTGTGAACACATTGCCCAAAGAACAAAAAATGTACAATTTTTTTTATTTTTTTCCCCTGAAAAGAGGTATTGAGAGGTATCAGAGGTATCAGAGGTATTGGCACTCTGGAACATCTTCCTTCTTTTCTGTGTATCTACTCTTCTTCGACTCAGATGTGATGGAACCTTATTTGAGTTATAATAATCAAGATGCTTCCATTTGTACTTTGATGATGGATGCTTTGTTTTGGCGAGCTTCCAAGTAACTTGGCTTTTACGTTTTTTACGGTAACATAGTATTTTACGATTTTTGGGATTTAGTGATTCAACATATACAGTCTGCCAGCTTTAATCCTTGGGGAATGTACCTTTTGAAGCTATTCTGAAGCCACTTGTCTCTCTATGTAATGTATGAATGTGATCTGTTTAAATGAAAATAAATAGTATCATCTACTGCTCTCAGAAAGCAGAAGAATATATTATTTCATGAATAAACCAAACAGTTCATAAAGGCACATACTCCTAGACTGCAATACCATGGCCCAATCCCATTTCTTCTTTTTACCCATACCCCTTGTTTTTGAGTGTCACCCTAACCCCTTGGAACTGAGTTACATGGTAGTGGTTGAAATCTTCCCTCTGAAATGGGACCCTCAAATAAAAAGAGCATCACTTCATTAACAGCTACTAGCGCTGCTCTGTAGGCGACCCTGCCAGTCTGCAGTGACAGCAGAGGAGGGTAAAGTTCAGCTCCTCACTGCTGGGCTTTAGTTACATTTAGGGCATCATATGCCTTCAAAGAGGGGGGCAATTATTTATTATCACCCACCCCTAATTCTTCAGTGATATGAAGCTGAAGTCAGATATTCACCAGATTCTTGTTCGAATTTTCCCGTTCCACCTTAAATGGTGCAGCAGTTACATTCTGGCACTTCAGGCGTCAGAACTGCTGGTCTATTTAAGGTGGACGGGAAAGTTAGCTAGCTAGCTACCGAGGCATTAGCATGCTATTAGCTTTTTTTTATGCTTGTTATGAAGAAAACGACCATAATACAGTGAAATGGCATTCAACTAAGATAATACAGTGGTTATGGTCATTTTTAACGGAGAAAATTCTCACATTCGTGGGTTTCTTTGGTCTCTTGTTCTCCATCTTGCCGGTTTTTCTTTTTTCCTCATAACTCTCTGTTTGGAGTCTCTGAAAAACCTCCGTTTGGAGGGTCATGTAGCTCTAACACTTCACCCTAACCCTCTATCTCAACAAAAATTGGGACACCCTACCCCTAGACGTGAACGCACAGAACAGAGAGCTAAGGGCTAAGTGGTAGGGCGAGGGGTGAAATGGGACTGCTCCCAGGTTACAAATTTAAGTGTAGAATCAAGTTTGTCTGGCTCATGTCTGTCCAGAAGGCCACTCTGTTTCAGTGAATACTTCTCTCCTTTCCTTGTCATCTTATTGGTAAACTACACAGTGAGAAGAGGAAAAGAAATGAGCAGCACTATTTTGACTTCACAAAATGTAGCATCATTCGATGGACATGCATATAGAGCATATAAGGAAGTTTCTTATATGAGAAAAAATGTTTAGTAACATAAACATGGCATGTCTAGATGGCTCACATACCTCTCCCCCTCTTTCACCTGGTTCTCCTCTTTCTCCCTGACAGAAAAAAGAGAAAAGAGAGAGAAAAAAAAGTACACATGAAACATTGTACCTGTATCCTCGTGGAATTTCATAAAATGAAAGGTAAGAAGGTAGAAAAACTTATATTTTAAACCTAATATCTGAACACAGTCACTGCAGCAGTCAAGTAGGAAGGTATTGTTTTATGATACAGATCAAAACCTGAGACAAAAAATTAGATGCAGGCTCTGCACTGCCCTCTTGTGGAGAATAGAGTTCAAACATTTCTTAAATATGAGAATGCATGACATTAGAGAGAAGCTAATTTTGCTCATCAAAAATAAATTTACTATGGCATTTTTTTTTATAACTTTCATTAGTATTCAAAGTTCAAATTCTCATCCTCAGTTGCCAATAGTGGAATGGGACGCTCTGATGGCACGGCCACACATGAGCCTAAGGTCACCGTGCTATGGGCGGTAGAGGGGTATAAAGCCTCCCCGAACTAATCCTCTTACATTAGTATGTATAAAATATGAAATCATTTACTCTCATTGTCCATTTTATCTGCTTCTCTGACCATATAGGACCACTCTGTAGTTCTACAGTTACAGACTGTAGACCATCGGTATCTCTGCATACTTTGTTACCCTGTTCTTCAGTGGTCAGAACCCCCACAGGACCCCCACAGAGCAGGTATTATTTGAGTGGTGGGTCATTCTCAGCACTGCAGTGACACTGACGTGGTGGTGATGGTCCTGTCCACTGAAGAACAGGGTAAAAGGGGGCTAACAAAGTATGCAGAGAAACAGATGGACTACAGTCTGTAACTGTAGAACTACAAAGTGCACCTATATAGTAAATAGACAAAGAGTGTAGATATAAGGAGGTGTACTTAACGAAGTATCTACTGTAAAAACACCATATATCAATAGAACAAATGCAAAAAACAAATACAGTAAAAAATAACATTAATTTCTTACTTTGAAAAGAAATTTGTTGAAAAACAAAGTTTGGTTCCAGATTTCTCATCGATGTCCCCATTTATCACATAGATCTGTTAAATTTCTTCATCCTGCACTTGATTTAATTTAATGAAGCATTGATTAAATGAACTGGGTATTTAATGGTAACTACAAATAATGCTGGGCTGCCATGAGGAGATGCTTGGAAATGCTTAACCCCTTAAAATCCCAGGCTTATTACATATTAACACTTAGTATTCAGTAACTACAGGGACTTTAGTGCAATGCAAACAACTTGAGATACACTCTTAAAAAAGATGGTTCTTCAAAGGAATCTTTAGTAAAGAAAATGGTTCTGTGTAGAACTATGAACACTCAAAGAACCATTTGCGTGATTAAATGGGTCTCTGTATGTTGAAATGGGTCTTCAGATTGATGGAGAATATGTTGTATATGGTTCTAGAAAGGCTCCAAAAAAGATTCTTCTTTTGTTACAAGCTTGATATTGTAACAATAGCAGAACGTTTGTGGTGCTATATAGAACCCTTTTCAAAAACCATCTACTGATTTTATTAATATCATTCGTATTTATTGTAATATTAGAATTTGTCTGAGCAGTTAAACTCTTACTGCCCAGATAAACAGCCTTTTTTCCCCTCGTGCAAAAAACCTTTTTAAGGTACTGTATGTATTATGATCCTTCTGTAGTTCTCTTTCCTCATCTGGAGTTATGATAGGATAATGAACATTTTGTATTATTCTGTGTTGTGTACTGTCCATTCAATCCTAACTGAAGCGGCCATGTTAACTAAACAGATAAGACATGCATGCAAACTTGTTGGCTTTTGTTGAAATTCACTGTTTTTAATGATACATATTCTAACATGAATCATTAAGATTTGAAGAGTTTTATTTTTCTATTTTGGATGGGGGTGGGCCCTGCAGCCAGCAGGAATCCCCTTATATCCAACAGCAGTTCACTGGCTTTTAGCCAATCTGTAGAAATTTTAGCAAGTATTTTATTCTTATTGGCTAATCAGACTAAAATCGACAGCGTTTTCCTGAATATATTTGAATCTGTACTTATTTACCATATTTATTTTCCAGGTAATAAAAATCTCCAGATAATACAACAGTAAACTGTTGCTGCATGAAATTCTACATTTTAAGTCACTACAACTCTGTTAACTAAGCCAGGTTTTAATGCTGAAGTGAGTTAATATTAATGTGAAATGTGAAAATAAAACAAAGTCTAATGAGTTTTAAAGTTTTTAGATGACAAACTATTTCTCGAGTTCCTTAGTAGTTTTCGAGTGATGTAAATGGTGTAAATGATCATCGTTTGTGACTAAGACGATCTGCTACCACTTCTTTTCGTGTAAAATTAATGCCTTTTAAAGCATATAGAACACACTGATTGGTGGCTGCCGTAACCACTGAGAGCTAAGGGACATTGCAAAACAGCAATCATTGGGGTCCAAGCACAGTGCTCCAATTTGAGCCCTTATGTGCCAGTACAGCAGAAAGAACACCAATTATTGCCAGCCTGACTCTTTAGGATGGCCTCTATTTATAATAATTGTTGATGAGGAGTCTCAAAAGAAGATGTCTACAAAATTATGTACACACAAATATATCAAAATGCCTAAAAAGCAGCATGTAAAAATAAAAACTAAAGTTTTGTTCTGTGCCTTGGTTTCTGAATATAACACTTTTGTCACTGCTCATGAGTTTGCATGTCTAAGATTTCAGAGGATTCTGTAATATAGCCTCTGGCTACAATGTAAACCTCAAATACAGTAACTAAATGTTTTATGAGAAGTCATAAACATAATTATTATTTATTTGTGATGATTTTTCCACGAGCAGAGAGCAGAGATTTTTATAGTACATAAAAAAGTTAGGTAACTCTTCTGTAGCGGCTACCTGCAGTGTTTTCATGACTGCTTTGTTTGTTTGCCATGGTATAAATTGTTTATGAAGTTAATAGAGCTATTGTTGGAAAGCCTGCCCATCATAAAGTAGGTGTTGGCCTCCATGTTTCACTAAAAATGCAATGTTTTCCTTTCTCATTAAAAAGTAGGGACCAAGTGTAATTTGGATAACATTATCCACTTATATAAGCTACACTCTAACGTACTGCTGAACACATGTTCTCATGGTGTAGCATAGTCAACAGCGCACACATGACCGTGTGTAGTCATTAATACCTTATGTCCTTTTATTCCAGGCATTCCAGGATGCCCTGGCTCACCAGGGCTCCCTGGTTCTCCAGCTTGGCCCTGAACAAGAAGCAGTAAAGAGAGTCACATTTGTAAGTATAAAACTTTGAAATGCACTACATGGACATAAATATTCAGACACCCGTTCTGATTACTGGGTTTGGCTGTTTCAGCGACAGCTATTGCTAACATGCGTAAAACTGAGCATACAGCCTTGTAATCTCCGTAGACAAACAGTCGCAGTAGAATGGGTGGTACTGAAGAGCTCAGTGACTTTCATGATGGCACTGACAAAAGGCTACATTCACTTTAAAGCCTCATTGCTCAAATCCGATTTTTTGCTCGGATCCGATCTCTCTGACAGGATGGTTCACACTCATTTAGGTAGGTGACTCAAGTCTATCATTGATGCGAACGAACCAGCGTCCTGAAATGACCCAAATGCACACGTCCTAATCAGTAGCATCACGTAAACAAAGTATGTGCGTCAAGAACAGCAAACAAACTAACGAACAGAACGAGCCTTCACTATGAAGATATTAACTCTTAGCATCCCAGTCATGTTCATTATTAGAGTGAGACGAAGGCGAAAAGGGTGAGATGTGCTGCTTTTCCAACGTTTACAGGCTTTGACTTCTGTCTGGTGCTGCTGCCAGAGTAACGCAGAACGATGGCGCATGCGCAGTGGGGAAAAAACACATTCATTCCCTTCTGTGCATTCACATTAAGGTCGCGTGGCCATGAATCGGGTACGTATCCGAGCTAGGACCACATATGAAAGTGGCTCAGGTCTGATTTGAGAAGATCAGATTTGTGTGTCCACACAGCTCTGGAAACATCAGATTTGAGTCACATTAGGGCAAAAAATCTGATTTGTGCCACTTCAACCTGGTAATGTGAACATATGCCACTTTTCAAAAAATTAGCATGTAAATTTCTGTCCGGCAAGCGCTGCCCTGGTCAGCTGTAAGTCATATTATTGTGATAGTGATGCATAGTGCCAACTCTAAGGTTTGGGTGAGGAGGAATAATGGTCTGGTGTTGTTCTTCATGGTTTGGGTCCTTTAGTTCCAATGAAGAGAAATGTCAATGCTACAGCATACAGTGACGTTCTAGAGGATTCTGTGGCAGCGGTTTGTGAAAGTCTCTTTATAGTTTGACTCTGACAGACGTTTCAATTTGACTGACATTTCAAACCGATATGATATATTTAGCCCAGAAGAGTAGGATTAGGTGATGCTGGGCTTTCGTGCTGACATGTCTACGGCATTTAATTCATTTGACTGCATTTGTAACCCTACAGGGATAAATGTTCTATTTCCTTAATGGGTACATTTTATACATGTTAATGTAGCGGCCTCTACTCATATGTACATGAAAGTATCGGATTTTGGCATCCATGCATAAATACAATGGCATTTGTAATATTAATGTTCATGATATGTGAACAATCACACATTCAAAAATGCGTCCAGATACTTTGTGGCATGTAGCGTATTTAGTTTGCACTCTGTAAGCATATTAACATATTAACATACTGCTCAAGTCTTCAGAGTGATGTATCTGTGTATCTTCATATTCATGGCAAAACTATTAGTGATGTATTTGAAATAACACATTTGGACACAGACCTGTTGCCCAGGAAGCCCTGGCTGACCTGGCTCCCCATTGTCTCCTTTACTGCCCTAATGATACAAAAAGTACAAAGAGTAGAAAGGAAGAAATTAGAGTCAGAAATAGACAATAGTTATGAATATAATTGTAAAATTGAATCAAAACATGCACTACATTGACCGTAATAATAGTACACATCATAAGTCATTCATCCATAATCATACTGCGTGAACCACTTCGAAGGAAGGTACTTTTGATCATTCATTTCCATGTTTCTAAGCATGAATATAATAATAATTGCAACATTGCACATGTTATTCGCACAAAAACTTGCATTATGACCTTAGGTCCAGGTAATCCAGGTACACCAGGCATTCCAGGCAAACCCATCTCACCCTGTAAGAAGACACACACAGTTGTTATTTTGGCTCATGGGTCTGATTTTCGCCTAAAACACCAGTCTGTCATCTGATACAGTAATCTTCAGAAGTCAGACTCCACTCTTCACTTATTTTATTTCTGGTCATATTTGGTGTCCAAATTTTGCTGCTTTAGTTTAGCCCTGAGGCTCTGAGGCTAACGTTGCTAACAGTACAAGTCAGTAGTCACCCAAATAGACCAAATTGTTTCCCCTTAAAAAATACGTCACTAAAACTTCTCCAAACACACTCAAACTGCTTCCAGGGCTAACACTTTATTTGGATAGTCCATATTAGAAGCTTTCTGGATACTTATTTTACTTTCAAGTTACATTCAGTTAAATATCTACTAAACTGACCGCAAGTTTCTTTAACTCTAAACCTGCTCTGATCCTAACACTAACCTTAACCTCAACCCAAAACCTAAACCCACACCTTAGCCTGGTCCTAGCCCTAACCCTGGTCCAAATCCTAACCCCAACCTCACCAACAGATAGTTTGTTAACAATTTGAGCATCTGTAGATAACTTATAGGGGAATATAATGGACTATCCAAATAAAGTGAGACCCTTCCAGGTCTTCGTTAAAGTTGCCCAGACTTGTTTGTGTGGTTTAGGACACAATATGACTTTATGTGAACTATGAAAATGAATTAAAAAACAATGCTGGACAGGCAGCCTTTTCAGACAACAGGGGCTTTATTCACAAACCATCCATGGAGTAGAAGTGCTGGTCTAGAATCAGTTTTTGTGACAAAGACTATCATAAATACAGAAGAATCTGATCCAAGATCATTCCTCAAATTTACAGCTGCTTTGTGAATACCAGTCCTGGGGTAGTGATGAGTTTTTGTTCGTTTTTATAGTCCACAGTTAGTCTCAAGAAAATCAATCAGTCTCCTCACATTATTATTGATTTTATCGACGGTAGTAAAGTGAGTAGTAAAATAAGGTGTTGGCCAGGAATTTTTCAGTCCTTTTCTGATATTTTCCCTAGAAGTTATAGCTTTTATTCACCTAGGTAGAGAAAAAATACACAGACAAATGTGTGGTCAGTGCTGCTTACATGCATAAGCATAGTTAAAATGAAGTATAATGCAGCCATTAGGGCGATTCAGTCAATGATGTTTTGGCCTAAAGATTGTATTGGGAATAACTATATTGCTGTTGGTGTTACTTGGTATAATTCATGATCATTTTGTTGTGAGCTTATAGTTGCCTTGGAAAGCAGATTTACTTACGCTGCCTCCAGGTGTACCTTTGGCTCCCTTCTGGCCAGGCAATCCTTCCTCGCCCTGTTATTAAAAGCAATTGTGCAGCAGTTGTTTTCAACACACGTGTGAAGTATATTAATCCTAATCGCAGGTAAGATATATAAATACAAGTTGCATATTAAATAATGGCAAGAGGTTGCAACCACAGGGTTTGCGGTTCAGTTAAATGTATTGTAAGATTATCAGCTTTGGTTTCTGAATTTGACAGCCAAACACTTGTTTACAGCTTTTTCAGTCAAGTATAACGTTCCAGAAATCTGCATCAAATTCCATGCAAAACAATGACTCACCTTTGGTCCCCTCGGGCCTTCAGTGCCAGGTGATCCCGGCATTCCCTAAAAACAATTACATGTTTTAATATTCATGTCTGTATTTTCATTGGATGTCATTCTATCCCTCTAATGGGCTAGAATGACATCCAATGACAACTCTCCACTCACTCTGTATATATGTATAAATTTATACTCGTAATATCTAGATTTTTTTACCACTCTACCATCCTTAATTGTACATATTGTAACCACAGAATCGCTTACTATAATCAGGGATGGGGGAGTAGCCAAGTTTCATGAAAGGTAGCTAATAGCTATAGCGCCTACAGATATTTGTGTAGCTATAGTGATCATTTTCGCTACAATTTCACTACAGGCTTCAGACAATCCGCGCAAAATCTGAACCATAGATCGTGGTCGTTAACTGGGCTGGTGGCAACTGTGCAATCCTGACTGAGCCGCGGACAGTTCGAGCAAACAGGTATGCACTGACCACCCCTTACTAGTATGCTTAGCTCAGGTGTCGGCAACCCAAATGTTAAGAAGAGCCATTTTGTCTTTTTAACAAAATAGAAACCACCTTAGGAGCCACAAGATTTTACATCAGCTTTACCATCATGGCTGTATGTCTCAGTGTGTGCTGATGTGTTAGTATAGGGAAAAAATATATACAATATGAACGCAGATGCAGACTTACTTTGCTCTGATTTAGCCTTTAGGTCAGCTGTAGCCGCTTTTCTCACATCTCAGTCAGGAAACTTTTCTACGAAAGTAGTTTCTTGTAAAATGTTTCTTAATGTTTGACTGGTTGAATTCAGCTTCTCATTCAGTGGCTTCTTGTTCGAATTGTCCCTTTCCAACTTAAATGGTGCCTGAGGCTTCAGAATGTACTGCTGCACCATTTAAGGTGGAATGGGAAAATTCAAAGGAGAAGCTGGGGAAAGAGAAACTGACTTCAGCTGTGCGGCTTAGTGTTTGACAGTTTCTGGTTGCAGATTAAACATATCAGGAAGCCAACTGAGTGCAAACGCAAATAAGTCCATTCGTCTTCAATTATCGATGTTCGTCTTAAATCTTTCTCTTTGCCGTTTTGTTCGCTACGAGCTAGGCAAGGCTGCTGTCTGCATTGCTGTGACCAGCAGTCTGTGCGCCAACCCTCAGCGTTAAAGGTTGGTGAATTAGTTATGCGTTAACTCCGGCGTTTAAGACCATTTATTGTGAAAACTGTGTTAGAACTGTGTTAGAACTGAGTTATAGCGATCAGCAGAGCTTTATTTTACAGAAAAGGAGGATTATTTTATTTTACCTAAAATTCTAGTTCTGCTATGGAGCCACAACAGGGCAGGAAAAGCCGCGTTTTGCCGACCCCTGGCTTAGCTAAAGCGGAAAAAACATTTTGGTAATAGACTGTTACTAACAGTACTGCGCAGAGCCAGAGTCACTGATGAGAATTTTGAGGCTAAAGAGTTGCTGAAGTTTAACAAAGACTCTGAATGTCATGTGTGTACAGATCTCGCTGAAATGTTTAAATTGGAGCAGTTTTATTTCAACCGTTGGCAGTGCTTTTCACAAAATTGTTTGGTTTTTATACATAGTTATAGTTATATAGCTATTTTTGTTGATTTTTGTTAGGAAAAACCTGAAATAATTGACTTTGCCTTTACTTAGTCTAATTTTTTGTTGGATGTCACACTTTGCTTGTGTAAGTTCCATTGTTGGTTACACTTAAACTCACTTTTTGGTGATCTTGCTGTGTATTTGCAGCCTTTCAGTGGCACATGATTAAATGTAGTGTCTTGTTCACACTATCAGTTGGGCTTGTTTGGTGTGGAGATATACAGACATTCTGACAATTGCGCTTTGAAAATAGCTAAAAAATTGTGCAATACTTATCAAAAAGTGGCTAAAAAGTAGCCACTACCTTCTCTGGAAAAGTAGCTAAATTGTAGTGAGCTACAAATTTTGGGAAAGTAGCTGCAAAGTAGCTAACTACTAATTTTTCAGTAGCTATTCCAACCCTGTATGTAATAATACTGTATTTTCAACTTCTGGTTAGATTCTGACTGCATTTCATTGGCTCTGTACCTGAACTCTGCACAATGACAATAGAATTGAATCTAATCTAATGAGAAATTCCAGCGCTCGATATGTGCAGTGCTATTACATGAGATTCCACAAATGAACATTTTAAGAGGCAGTATTGCTGCCCATATAAATGAGACATCCACATGTGGGCAGAGTTTCCTTTGCCTCTAATGAAGCTAGCATGCCTGGCTTTGGGATAAATGGGTGTGTTTTCCTCCGAATGCCTGAATTAATCACATATGAAATGCGTCCCTGCAGCTTTGTCAGCCAGAGAGACTAATAGGTTTAACAGGATGTTGTTAAATTCCAGTGCCAGCAGAACAGCAAACAGCTCCACCAGAGATAACATGTCAAAAGCCCTTACAAGTTCTAGACATACATCAGCTCAGAACTCTTGGCACTGTTACATGTGCCACTACTGTTATTCCTATAAGCTTGAAGTATGAAGCTGCGTTAACGTTATGAAACCTGTGGGTTTGAACAGGCTTGGCTGATTATAACCAGGATGTGCAGCTTTATTAGTGGAACACACCTGCGTAACAGCATTCTGACATTAGATTGTTATGGAAACGGTAAATGGTTTTACGTGGTTGTTTGAGTTACTGTAAATGTTCATCTTGTGTGATTGTCCATCACTGCTTACTGTTAAACTCTGATTTACTCTGTAACTCTGTAAAGACTGCTGACACTCCTGGTTTTGTTTGTACTCTGTGTTGTAAACTACCTCATACCGCTTAGTGCAGCACCTGCTCTCATGGAAATCCAACAAATCTGTCTTATATGCTGTGTAAATATGCAAATAGATACACTTCTGTTTCTGCTCTCTCAAACTTTAACTTATGTCTAATTTTTATTTGTTTTATTTCTGCCTAATGTATATAAGTTTATGTGCAGTTATGTCTTGCTACTGTAACACTGCAGTTTTCTGTCTGTCTGTCTGTCTGTGTCTATCTGTCTGTCTGTGTATCTGTCTGCCTGTCTGTCTATGTATCTCTGTCTATCTGTCTGTCTGTCCATCTATATGTCTGTCTGTCTGTCTGTCTGTGTCTATCTGTCTGTCTGTCCATTTAGCTGTCTGCCTGTCTGTCTATGTATCTCTGTCTATGTATCTCTATCTATCTCTTCTGTCCATCTGTCTGTCTGTCTCTCTATCTCTCTGTCTGTCTATCTGTCTGTCTGTCCGTCTGTTTGTGTATCTCTACCTGTCTATCTGTGTATCTCTATCTGTCTGTCTATCTGTCTGTTTCTCTGTCTGTCTGTCTATCCATCTGTCTGTCTGTAAGTCTGTCTATGTGTCTCTGTCTATGTATCTCTAAATGTCTGTCTATGTATCTCTGTCTATCTGTCTGTCCGTCTGTCTGTCCGTCTGTCTATGTATCTCTATCTATCTATGTATCTCTGTCTATCTGTCTGTCCATCTGTCTGTCTGTCCGTCTGTCTATGTATCTCTATCTATCTATGTATCTCTGTCTGTCTCTCTGTCCATCTGTCTGTCTATCTGTCCATCTGTGTCTGTCCGTCTGCCTGTCTGTCTGTGTATCTCTACCTGTCTATCTATGTATTGTGTCTATCTGTCTGTCTCTCTGTCTGTCTGTCTGTCTCTCTGTCCATCTATCTATCTGTCTCTGTCTGTCTATCTATCTATCTATCTATCTATCTATCTATCTGCCTGTCTGTCTGTATGTCTGTCTGTCTGTCCATCTATCTATCTATGTGCCTGTCTGTCTTGTCTGTCTGTCCATCTATCTGTATACCTGCCTGTCTGTCTGTCTATCTGCATATCTGTCTATCTGTCTGTCCATCTACCTATCTGTTTGTCTGTCTGTCTGTCTATCGTATTAATCTGGAAATGATTGTAAAATAGCGTGATTAAATGTGTTGTATTGTTAGAAACACTTATATTTGATGAAGCTGAAATCGTACCATACTCGCGTCGTATGATATGCTGGATTCAGCTTTTTTTAATGATTTAGTGTAGCATGACTTTGAGATCTATGGGAAGTTAAAGCCAACTGCAGTTTATTGTGCTCTTGCCAAGATCAGCCGTTTTATCATCTTGAAGGAATCCCAAAGAGATCCACACTTCCTCTTTGAAATATGATGTATGTACATCTGTGTAATCTGCTGAAAACATTCCCTTCACTTCAAAGTTTTCTAACAGTACATGTACAGTACCATGCAAAAGTCAGAGACCACCCTATACTTATTTAATTTTCAATCAAAACAGCCATTAAGTACAAATTGTTCATTTTCAGTTGATATTTATGAGGAGCTTAGATATAAGATAATCCACCTGCATAATGAAGGAGAAAGTCAAATGAAAATAAGTGGAAAAAAATAGGAGTTTCCAAAACTGGAGTTCAAAAAATGGTTAAAAGCTACAGAGAAAATGGGGCTCCTAACAACCACCTGGAGGAGCTGGTCGACCCCAAAACTGCCCCCATCAGATAAACAGCACTGAAAGCTTTCATCTCTGAGAGAGAGGAGAAAATCAAGCTGCTTCAGATCTGAAAACATCCACAGGTGTTTCTGTCCATCCTTTCCACTGTGAGAAGACGACTCAGCGCTGTGGGTCTGAAAGGAGGTGTAGCTGTCAAGAAGAACCTCACTGAGAAAAGGAGACGGACACCTCAAACAAAGAAGCTGAACGATGGACTGACCACCCCAGAGTCCAGACCTCAACACCACTGAATGTGTTTGATTACTTCAGAAAATGATCAACCAGCTTCTAAGACTGAACTTTGGAGGTGTGTCTGCAGATTCTTTGAGGAACTGAAAGTGAGTCTCCTGAAAAGAATGGAAGCTGGAATAAGGGGAAAGATATTATATTTAGTTGTTGATGGTTCTGTGTACTTTTTTATGTCTAATATATTTTCTCCTTTTTTTCTGATACTCAAAAATAAGTAATCACTGAAAATTTAATAAATGAAGGGTAGTCTCTGACTTTTGCACAGTGTATCGCTGTTGTCGGAAGAAAG